AAAGTCGAATCGTGTTGACCACAAGGCTTGTAGATGTTGGGTCGTGTGCTTGCTCTGGCAATTCCCTTCACCAGATGCGTTTTCTGAGCATGGAGGAAAGCTGGACTCTTTTACGCGATAAGGTTTTTGGGAATGGTGGTTACCCTCCGGAATTGGAGAAAATTGGGAGGTACATTGGCCATCAGTGTCAAGGGTTGCCACTTGCAGTTGTTGCAATTGGTGGACTACTTTCCAAGATGAGCAAGGAAACAAGTTCTTGGGAGAATGTTGCAGAAAAGGTAGGATCACTTATGACAAGTGACACTATGGATTGCTTGAACATACTTTCTTTGAGCTACAACCACTTGCCTCAGTACTTGAAAACATGCTTCCTTTATATGGGAGTTTTTGCAGAAACTCGTGAGATCCCGGTCTGGAAGTTAATAAAGTTATGGATTGCTGAGGGCTTCGTCAAGAAAGTTAATCATAAAAATCTAGAAGATGTGGCAGAGGAAAATTTGAGGGAGTTGGTTGATAGAAGTTTGGTTTTGGTGGGGAAGCATACTTCCCTAGGAAAAATCAAGACTTGTAAGATGCATGATCTCGTTCGAGATATGTGTTTGAGAGAAGCCCAATATGAGAATTTTATACACTTCAAAACAAGGTATGACCATGATGATCTTCTAGAAAACATTAGTTGTCTACGTCGTGTAGCTGATTTCCATAAGTATACACACAGTGGACTTTCTAAACTTATGCCACTCACACGTTCTGTTTTCTTCAAATATCCATACTTTATTTGTTACCTCTCACAGTCGAGCTTTAGATTACTTAGGATATTAGATGTTTGCTTTACTACTTCTTTGGACAGTAGTCAGTCCATATCAGAACTTGTTCATTTGAGGTATCTTGCTTGTCCGTTTTTCAATGGTCTTGTACAATCACTATGCAAGCTACGGAATATACAGAACTTCACATCCATTTGGTTTAAGTATGAGAACCCAGTCCCTACCATGGGAAGTTGTGAATATGCCTCAACTAAAACATATCCATACAAAAAAGTTGAGTCTTTTCATATCCCCACCTACATCAGTATTAATTTCTGAGAGGGAGAATCACTTACAAACGTTAACCGGATTGATGCCCTCATCTTGTAACGATGAGGTGTTTCTACGAATTCCAAATTTGAAGAAGTTGGGAATTTTAATTGTTGATGATTCAGACACTATTCAGAAGTGTTATTGTCTTGATAATCTTGTACATTTAACTCAGCTTGAGAAGCTCAAAGTTGAGGTCAGCGAGAGTTATCTGCTAATTTTTATGCGGATTAGCGAAGGTTGGGTGGACATTCCACATTGTGACAATTTCCCACCAAACCTTAAGAAGTTAACATTATGCAGAACACACCTACAATGGGAAGACATGAACATTCTCAGAAAATTACCTAATCTTGAGGTGCTCAAACTTAAACATCATGCCTTTGACGGACTAACTTGGATACTAAGCGATGAAGACGAAGATGGATTCTTGAAGCTAAAGTTTTTACTTCTTGAGCACATGCATCTGAAGCAATGGGAAGCAACAAGTTATCATTTTCCAAGCCTTGAGCATTTAGTCCTAACAGATTGCTATTCATTGGAGCAAATTCCTTTAGACTTTGCAGAGATTCAAATACTACAGCTGATTGAACTACACAAATGTATGCTTTCTGTTCTTATTTCAGCAGAGCAAATACAAGAGGAGCAACAAAGCTTGGGAAATGATGACCTTGTTATTCGTGTGAACTATATACGTGAGTAAACATTAATAAAGAAGTTACACATTTTCATCTAGAAAAGCATAAAAAATCATTTTCGTTCTTCCTAATATATGTGTGTTCATTTTTTCATTTATTTATACTATAAAAGGTGCTAATTACAATTGGTTTGCAAGAGTTGATCAAGGCATTGCAAAAGAGAAGTCACAACAGCATATGCCGCCAATCGCTGTTTGTTTCTTACCAAAACATGGTAGATTAGGGAGTTCTGAGTTCTTGATCAAGATGCCCAAACTAAAGTCAATTCACTAAGCATTTTCTTTAGAAAGAAAAGAAGTGTACAAAATGTTTTTTTATAAGATTCAAGTTGGAATAAACAACACATTATAGTCAAACTGAGAAATGGTATACAATATTGAATTTTCAACTTCACAGATAAAATCACTGTTAAATTTGTCTAGGGTTGTCAAAATCAAACCCAACCCGTTTAAGTTTGGGCGGGTTATTGACCCCCCCATTCATTAGCTTAACCCATTAAAAATTGACTTGATATGTAACCCGAATTGGCTCATGAGAAATCTTGTCAAAATATTTTTAAAGAACTTTTTATTCAATTTGATAGGTTATATATAGCCATAATAGAATAAAATAATTTTATTAGGTACTAAAATAGTTTAAAAGAACAAATAAATTCATTAAGCTTAGTAAAAATTGAGTTGGGTTGATCTTGACCCGTTACCTAATCCGTTTTGGCCCGTGCAAATTTGAGTTGGGTTGATATTTAATTCATTACCCAAATTCGAACCAACCCACTCAATTGCCATCCCTAAATTTGTCTTACCTTTCCCTCCCCAATTACCTCTTTAAAAATTGGCACAAATGAAGAAAGTGCATTGACCCAAATGAGGAAATCAGTTGAAAAGCTTGGATCTTACACTGAAGTAAGAAAAAATGAGTTCCCTTTTCCTCTTTTAGTGTAAAGTTCAAATCTTTGTACTGGTAATCAGTTTTTTTTTTCTTTTGCAGAGTTATGGAGAGCAACACTTATGAGGTTCTTGATTGCAAGAGTAATTTCGTTCCCCTCATAGTAAAGTTTCCTTTTTTTTCTCAATACATTGCATTTTTGTTGTTGTTGATCTTGTTTGTGCTTAGTTATTTATTTCATAATGTCACCCTTTTCTTGATTCCAATTTTTTTTGACAAAGAAAGTCACTTTATGAAATAATAATTATTAGTTGAATGACCATCTTAGAAATGAACTCGTTTTTCTATAAGAAATATTCTTGTTGGTTCACTCAATGATGCCTTTTCATCTTTTATTATCTTTAATTTAGTCACTGTTATGAAGTTTCAAATTTCACAGATCAAACTCCAGGATATTGTCATGGAGTAAAAGTAACTTGTAGAATTTGAAATTACCTTACAATAGTTATTTTTCAAAGATATGACCGAAAAAAGGACTTTTCTCCAGTATGAATGCAGTTTGGACAAGTTGTATGACTTTGGGCCTCATTTGACAAACTATTCCAATTTGCTTTTTTGAACAAGTCTTATATACCATTTAAGTCTCAATGAACAAATCCAACTATGTGACTTATCTTTACATAGCCTAAAAGTCTTGAATTCCCATCCATTACATTGGCTTTGGCCTTTGGGCATCTAAATCAAGAACGCAGAACTTCCTAGTATTCCACATTCATCCTACTGTCCTATTTAGTAAGAAACTAACAAACAGCGATATGGCGGCGTATGCTGCTGTGACTTCACTTTTGCATACCCTGGATAATCTATCTCAAACTCATACATCACATTCTCTTCTTTACAAAAAAGAGCAAACTGAAGTCCTCAGTGACAAGTACACCTTCCTTAAAACCTTTCTTGAGGATTTTACTAATATTTTCCATGAAGATATAAAGATGAAGCATCTCGAAAGGATGATCCAAGAAGCTGCTAATGGAGTGGAAGATACCATCGACTCACATGTATATGATAGCTCTGTCGTAGTGCAAAGCAAGCGAGTACGAAGAAAGGCTGATATGATCTTTCATCAAAACTTGGAATATGCAATTGAGGAAATTGATTTGATACAAAGAGAGGTTATTGAAAAGATAAAGGTCAACAAGTTCAACAGCAAAATCTCTCATTCAAGAGAAACTTCATCTCAGATTCCTATGGATCAAAAAGATATAATCGTTGGACTAGATGAAGATTTACTAAAGAATAAAAGATCGACTCATCGTGCAATCATCAAGCCTCGAAGTTGTCCCCATTATAGGGATGGGTGGTATTGGCAAGACCACACTGGCTAGAAGAGTTTATGATGATTCCTTGATTGCATACCATTTTTATGTTCGAGCATGGACAAATGTATCTCAAGAATTTGACACTAGAGAAATTTTTCTTGGTATTCTTTGCTCCATCAACGATGAAGTAGAAAGAAACAGTACTACTGAGCAATTGGCTGAAAGAGTTTATCGAAGTTTAAAAGGGAGGAAGTATCTCATTATCCTTGATGATATGTGGTCTATCGATGCTTGGCAGCATGTTAGGAGATCATTTCCGGATGATCATAATGGAAGTCGAATCGTGTTGACCACGAGGCTTGTAGATGTTGCATCTTGTGCTAGTTCTGGCAATTCCCTTCACCAGATGCGTTTTCTGAGCATGGAGGAAAGCTGGACTCTTTTACGCGAGAAGGTCTTTGGGAACGGTAGTTACCCTCCGGAATTGGAGAAAATTGGGAGATACATTGTCCATCAGTGTCAAGGGTTGCCACTTGCAGTTGTTGCAACTGGTGGACTACTTTCCAAGATGAGCAAGGAAACAAGTTCTTGGGAAAATGTTGCAGAAAAGGTAGGATCACTCATGACAAGTGACACTATGGATTGCTTGAACATACTCTCTTTGAGCTACAACCACTTGCCTCAATACTTGAAAACATGCTTCCTTTATATGGGAGTTTTGCTAGAAACTCGTGAGATCCCGGTCTGGAAGTTAATAAGGTTATGGATTGCTGAGGGGTTCGTCAAGAAAGTTCAACATGAAAATCTAGAAGATGTGGCGGAGGAAAAATTTGAGGGAGTTGGTTGATAGAAGTTTGGTTTGGTGGGGAAGCATACTTCCCTAGGAAAAATCAAGACTTGTAAGATGCATGATCTCGTTCGAGATATGTGTTTGAGAGAAGCCCAATATGAGAATTTTATACACTTCAAAACGAGGTATTACCAAGATGATCTTCTAGAAAACATTAATTGTCTACGTCGTATAGTTGATTTCCATAAGTATACAGACAGTGGACTTTCTAAACTTATGCCACTCACACGTTCTGTTTTCTTCAAATATCCATACTTTTTTTGTTTCCTCTCACAGTCAAGCTTTAGATTACTTAGGATATTAGATGTTTGCTTTACTTCTTCTTTGTTCTGTGGTCAGTCCATATCAGAACTTGTTCATTTGAGGTATCTTGCTTGTCCGTCCTTCAATGGTCTTATGCAATCACTATGCAAGATACGGAATATACAGAACTTAGTTATTCATGATTTATGTCCATCTGGTTTAAGTATGCGAACCCAGTTCCTACCATGGGAAGTTGTGAATATGCCTCAACTAAGACATATCCATACAAAAAAGTTTAGTCTTTTCATACCCCCACCTACATCACTAATTGCTAAGAGGGAGAATCATTTACAAACGTTAACCGGATTGATGCCCTCATCTTGTAATGAAGAGGTGTTTCTAAGAATTCCAAATTTGAAGAAGTTGGGAATATTAATTGTTGATGATTCAGACACTATTCAGAAGTGTTATTGTCTTGATAATCTTGTACATTTATCTCAGCTTGAGAAGCTCAAAGTTCAGTTCAGAGAGAGTTATATGCTAATTTTCAGGTGGATGAGCGAAGATTGGATGGACCTTTCTTCGCTACACATTCCACATTGTGACAATTTCCCACCAAACCTTAAGAAGTTAACATTGTGCAGAACACACATACAATGGGAAGACATGAACATTCTTAGAAAATTACCTAATCTTGAGGTGCTCAAACTTAAACATCATGCCTTTCTCGGACTAATTTGGAAACTAAGCGATGAAGATGAAGATGGATTCTTGAAGCTAAAGTTTTTACTTCTTGAGAACATGAATCTGATGCAATGGGAAGCAACAAGTTATCATTTCCCAAACCTTGAGCACTTGGTTCTAACAGATTGCTATTTGTTGGAGCAAATGCCTTTTGACTTTGCAGAGATTCAGACACTACAGCTGATTGAACTACACAAATGTAAGTGTTCTGTTCTTGTTTCAGCAGAGCAAATACAAGAGGAGCAACAAAGCTTGGGAAATGATGACCTCGTTATTCATGTGAACTATATACGTGAGTAAACATTAATCAAAAAAGGTATACATTTCTTAAAAGCATAAAGATTTTACTTGCTTCTTTTGTTTACAATAATGTTTTATCATTTTGAATATGTTGACTTTTAGTCAATTTTATTTTTTCTTTAGTTCAAAACAATATAATAAAAGAGTTTATGATGATTCCTTGATTGCATACCATTTTTATGTTCGAGCATGGACAAATGTATCTCAAGAATTTGACACTAGAGAAATTTTTCTTGGTATTCTTCGCTCCATTGGCGTGGTCAACGATGAAGTAGAAAGAAACAGTACTAATGAGCAATTGGCTGAAAGAGTTTATCGAAGTTTAAAAGGGAGGAAGTATCTCATTATCCTAGATGATATGTGGTCCATCGAGGCTTGGAAGCATGTGAGGAGACTATTTCCGGATGATCATAATGGAAGTCGAATCGTGTTAACCACGAGGCTTGTAGATGTTGCATCTTGTGCTTGCTCTGGCAATTCCCTTCACCAGATGCGCTTTCTGAGTGTGGCGGAAAGCTGGACTGTAACATCCGGCAATTTGAAATAACTATGAAGAAGCTTGGAATTGGAAATAGTCATTTTTGGAAAGACTTTTAAAAAAATCTGGAAAATTTGGTTGTTAAGTATGGGTAAAAGGTGAGTTTTTGGCCAACTTTGAACAGTCATAACGTCTAGCTCAAGATGAGTTAGGTGTAGTTCCAGTTATGTTTACAAAGCTCGTGGAATGATCTTTCCAACGCCATCGAGTTTTCTCGATTCTGAGTTCGTATGAGTGAGTTATGCCCTTTGGAAATTGGGCAGTTGGCAGGGAAGTCCGTCCGGAAATTTTAAGGGTATTTTGGTCTTTTCCCTAACCAATTCTTTTGGATATATTAAGGTGTTAGACTGATTTTAGATCAGTTTTTCCCTTTTTGAAAGAGTGAGAGTGAGGGTTTGTGAGTAAAGAGGAAAAGAAGGGGAGAAAGAGAAGATCAAGCAAGGTTTCGTCAAAGATCGTCGTGGATATTGTCGGGGGTGATCCCTACTAGGTATGTGAGATCATAGTGTTTGGTTGGTTCATTCCCCCACACGCCAAATTCGTTTTAATATCCGAGAAAAGATTTGGTTGTGTTTATTGAAGTCTTGTGGTTGTGGTTGGTGAGGTTGTGGTTGTGTTATTGAAGTTCTTGTGGATTTGAGACATGTTTTAGGTTGTGTTTTCGAGTTGAATCTATTGTGTATTAAGGGGTTTTAATGATCCCAAGTGTTTGGGGAAGGAACCTTTGAAGTTAAGAGGGTTTAGAGTTGGTAACATGAAGGAGAAAAGTCGGGCAGCTTGCATGAAACAAGTCTGCGTCGCAGACTTGTTCCCTCTGTGAACAAATCTGCTCCGCGTCGCGGACAGGACGCGGACTTCACTGTTTCAAAAATTTAATTTCGTAATTTTTCTTAAGTTTAGCTGTCCTAAATCATTCCTAAACATCATGAGGTCTTTCCAAACACAAATCATGAATCCTTGAATCCATAATTCAATTCAAGAAAGTTAGGATCAAAGTCAAGTGAAGTTAAGAGTCAAGTCTAAAAGTTAAGAAGCAAGTCTTTAAAGCTTTTCAAGAGTCTTTATTAAACGTTTTAACTTCGTTTTAAGGCTCAAGTTTCAAGTTAAGTAAAGTGTATAGAGTTTCAAGTTAAGTAAAGAGTATAGAGTGTCAAGTCAAGTAAAGAGTAAGAACAATGTAGCCAAACATGGGACTTAACGGGTTATTCTTTTTAGATGATCACGTAAGATTAAGCTAGTGGATTCACTAAGTAAAGTAAGGTCCTATATCACGGAAAAGTATAGGATGGTCCTTGGGCAACGTGAGGTAAAACGTTGTATCATCACTAGGGCTCATAGTGGTGGTTGTCGGTTAAAGAATCTCCCACAAAAGTTATATTAACTTTTATATAAGTAAAGTTGAGTTGTTATTGCTTTATCCTTAACGAACTAAGTTGTTTACACTGTTTTGCAAGCTTTATATATATTGCGTGTGTCTTATTGCTTTATATTGAGTTCGGTTATTCATGAGTTGAATAGAGCCAAGGTAAGTGTTCTCTTGTACTCCTTTCAAGCTTAAGTTGTTGTTTAGCTTTCCAGCTCGCATACTCGTACATTAAATGTACTGATGCCAGTTGACATGTATCTTATTATGATGCAGACACAGGTACCCAGGATCAGCATTCGGCACACCGTTGATCCAGCCGAGCACTTCCGAGTCAGTGGTGAGCCTCTTTGCATTCCGGAGTACTCAGTTATTTTGTTCTCTTAGTTTGTTTTATTAGGATGTTCCGGGGTCTGTCCCAACATCCATCTCAGTGTTATAGAGGCTTCATAGACAGTCAGTCAGTTAGTATTGAGTCTCTCATCTATGTATATATGTAAATATTCTATTTTGAGACTCGAGTTGCCTTTTTGGGCCAGATTTTATCAGTTAAGTTGTTTTATGTCCTTGCATTGCATGGAGTTATTCTGTTGAGTTAGGTTTCCGCTGAGTTAAGAAAGTCAGGCCAAAGGTTCGCTTGGGGCCAACAATGGTCTTCGAGTGCCAGCCATGTCCAGGGTATAGGCTCGGGGCATGGCAATCTTTTACGCGATAAGGTCTTTGGGAACGGTAGGTACCCTCCGGAATTGGAGAAAATTGGGAGGTACATTGGCCACCAGTGTCAAGGGTTGCCACTTGCAATTGTTGCAATTGGTGGACTACTTTCCAAGATGAGCAAGGAAACAAGTTCTTGGGAGAACGTTGCAGAAAAGGTAGGATCACTTATGACCAGTGACACTATGGATTGCTTGAACATACTTTCTTTGAGCTACAACCACTTGCCTCAGTACTTGAAAACAAACATGCTTCCTTTATATGGGAGTTTTTGCAGAAACTCATGAGATTCCGGTCTGGAAGTTAATAAAGTTATGGATTGCTGAGGGATTCGTCAAGAAAGTTTATCATAAAAATCTTGAAGATGTGGCAGAGGAAAATTTGAGGGAGTTAGTTGATAGAAGTTTGGTTTTGGTGGGGAAGCATAGCTCCCTAGGTTTTATCAAGACTTGTAAAATGCATGATCTCGTTCGAGATATGTGTTTGAGAGAAGCCCAATATGAGAATTTTATTCACTTCAAAACAAGGTATGACAACGATGATCTTCTAGAAAACTTTAATTGTCTACGTCGTGTAGTTGATTTCAATAAATATGGATACAGTGAAATTCCTAAACTTATGCCACTCACACGTTCTGTTTTCTTCAAATATCCACACTTTTTTTGTTTCCTCTCACAGTCAAGCTTTAGATTACTTAGGATATTAGATGTTTGCTTTACATCTTTTTTGTACTGTAGTCAATCCATATCAGAACTTGTTCATTTGAAGTATCTTGCTTGTCCGTCCTTTGATGGTCTTGTGCAATCAGTATGTAAGCTACGGAATATACAGAACTTAGTTATTCATGATTTAAATTTATCTGGTTTACATATGAGAACCCAGTCCCTACCATGGGAAGTTGTGAATATGCCTCAACTAAGACATATCCATACAAAAAAGTTCAGTCTTTTCATACCCCCACCTACATCACTAATTGCTGAGAGGGAGAATCACTTGCAAACGTTAACCGGATTGGAGCCCTCATCTTGTAACGATGAGGTGTTTCTAAGAATTCCAAATTTGAAGAAGTTGGGAATATTAATTGTTGATTCAGACACTATTAGGAAGTGTTATTGTCTTGATAATCTTGTACATTTAACTCAGCTTGAGAAGCTCAAAGTTGAGTTCAGCGAGAGTTATCTGCTAATTTTTAGGCGGATTAGCGAAGGTTGGGTGGACCTTTCTTGGCTACACATTCCACATTGTGACAATTTCCCACCAAACCTTAAGAAGTTAACATTGTGCGGAACTTACCTACAATGGGAAGACATGAACATTCTCAAAAAATTACCTAATCTTGAGGTGCTCAAACTTAAACATCATGCCTTTCACGGACTAATTTGGAAACTAAGCGATGAAGATGAAGATGGATTCTTTCAGTTAAAGTTTTTACTTCTTGAGAGCTTGCATCTGAAGCAATGGGAAGCAACAAGTTATCATTTTCCAAGCCTTGAGCACTTAGTCCTAACAGATTGCTATTCATTGGAGCAAATTCCTTTCGACTTTGCAGAGATTCAAACACTACAGCTGATTGAACTACACAAATGCATGCTTTCTGTTCTTGATTTAGCAGAGCAAATACAAGAGGAGCAACAAAGTTTGGGAAATGATGACCTTGTTATTCGTGTGAACTATATACGTGAGTAACATTAATAAAAAAGGTATACATTTTTTAAAAGCATAAAGATTTTTTTTCCTGAATTTTTCTTACATAGCTCTTATCTTGGATAACTTTTTCTATCTTATAAAAGTTAGTGTGCAGTACAAAATATTAATTTGATTAGCTAGATTCTTTCGAAATCTGAAATTGATTCTTATATTCATCATTTTTATTTATTTATACTATAAAAGGTGCTAATTACAATAGGTTTTGTGCATTGCAGACAAAAAACTTAGTTGATGGAGAGTGCCATAAGATATACTCAAGCATAAATAAGTTGATCACTCTTTGCAGTAGTTGATCTTACCTTTCAGTGTATTTCGATTTCCTTTTTCCAGTTCAACTTGTTTGGGACTGAGGCTTAGTTTAGTGAATTGTATATCTAGATATAATTCAAATATAATGCATTTACTTTGGAATGTGTATGTATTTGAACGTACTTCTCTTAGTTGCTTGTACCACCATGTTGAATCAATATATTTATTTGCAGGCATTGTCCAAAAACAGGCACCTTGTTATTATAGTTAAAGTTAGCAAGCATTTTCCTTCCAAGGATCAAGTTCAATTATTCTGAGCATGTTCAATGGATAACAGGGATGGAATAGAGGTTGAATGGTAGGAGACAGTATGCTTAGAGAGAAAGAAGGGTGTGAACTTTTTGTACGTCATTTGCCTACTTTTTTTGAAACATTCCCAGTCGTTTTGGTAGATGATGATTGAATTGTTAGACCCGATGTTCCTTTTATTAGGTGAGAATCAGAGTTTAGTGTTGAACACGTAGGTGTAATCATTGAGTTCTACTGCTGTGAAGTGGGTGAAATTTTCGAATTATATCGTGCTACTTTGAAAACCTATGGTGTTTCTTCATAGCAGTCAAAAGGGTTGATTTACTTTTGGCCTTTGGGCATGCTTCGTTTGCTTTGCTCTTCTTCTTCAGACACATTTGGCATGACACTAGAACCTTGTTTGTGTTTTTTCTTAGGGTTGATTTATCAGATAATCACTCCATTAATAGTTATTATCTCAAAAAGTCACAATTCTTCTTTTTTCCAAATTTTTTTCTACAAAGAAAGTGACTTTCTGAGATAATAACTATTAATCGAGTGACCATATGAGAAATCAACTCGTTTTTCTTTTAAGAAATATTCTTGTTGGTTCACTCAATGATGCCTTTTTATCTTTTATCATCTTGCTAATGGGACATTGGACAAGTCTTTAATTTAGACAATCTTGTAGTTAGTTGCTATGAAGTTTCAAATTCCATAGCAGAAACTCCAGTATATTGTCATGGAGTAAAACTTGTAAAAACAACAACATACCTAGTGTAGTATCATAAGTGAAGTCTAGGGAGGATAAGATGTACACAGACCATATCCCTACCTTTGTAGTGTAGAGACGGAGTTTGTTTCCGATAGGCCCTCGACTCAACAATAAAGAAAAGAACTTGAAGCATGGTAGCAAGAAAATATGACAGAAAAAAAAGTAAGATACAGATCAAATGAAGCAACAAATAGTAATACACATCGAAGAAAAAGAAACAAAGTGCAACAATACTTGGCTACCTACTAACCTTCTAATCTAATCCTCAACTTTCACTCCTTCCTATCTAGGGTCATATCCGAAATAAAACTTGTAGATTTTGAAATTACATGACTATAGTTATTTTTCGAAGATATGTCCGAAAAGCGGCTCTCTAGTATGAATGTAGTTTGGGCAAGTTGTATGACTTTGGGTGTCTGACAAACTATTCCAACTTGCTTTTTGGTACAAGTCTTAAATACAATTTGAGTCTCAATCTGACAAATAATTCAATGAGCAAAACAAGAATTCTCACTTCTACCTTCCACCAACCCCACCATTACTCTCTTGGAGAGAAACAGACACAAAGAGAAGACTTCTCTTTACAAAGCCTTAAAAGTCTTGCATTCCCATCCATTACATTGCCTTCTTCTTTCATAAAGAATTGGTTTTGAGAATCTAAATCAACAACTCAGAACTTCCTCCTACTGTCCTGTTTAGCAAGAAACTAACAAACAGCGATATGGCGGCGTATGCTGCTGTGAATTCACTTTTGCATACGCTGGATAATCTATCTCAAACTCATACATCACATTCTCTTCTTTACAAAAAAAAGCAAACTGAAGTCCTCAGTGACAAGTACACCTTCCTTAAAACCTTTCTTGAGGATTTTACTAATATTTTCCATGAAGATGTAAAGATGAAGCATCTCGAAAGGATAATCCAAGAAGCTGCTAATGGAGTGGAAGATACTATTGACTCACATGTATATGATAGCTCTGCCTTAGTACAAAGCAAGCGAGTACGAAGAAAGGCTTATACGATCTTTCATCAAAACTTGGAATATGCAATTGAGGAAATTGGTTTGATACAAAAAGAGGTTATGAAAAAGATAAAGGTCAACAAGTTCAACAGCAAAATCTCTCATTCAAGAGATACTTCATCTCAGATCCCTATGGATCAAAAAGATGTAATCATTGGACTGGATGAAGACTTGCTAAAGATAAAAGATCGACTCATCGTGCAATCATCAAGACTCGAAGTTGTCCCCATTATAGGGATGGGTGGTATTGGCAAGACCACACTGGCTAGAAGAGTTTATGATGATTCCTTGATTGCATACCATTTTTATGT